GTATGTATGTATGTATATACGTATATATATATATATATATATATATGTACATGTATATGAATATATATATATATATATATATTATATATATATATATATATATACGTATGTATCTATGTATCTATGCAATAATAATAATATATTGGCTCCAAAATATCTCTAACTCCAACGCTTGAATCGTAGCCCTTAGCCTGTTTTGTACAACGGACTGTCCAAGTAACCCCCCAGTCATACTTTAGGAGAAATACATAACTCCTCCACCTCAGATGATTGAACAAGGACCGGTCCCAAATGATAGAAATAGGTCATCTTTTTGGTCACACAGTCTCGATATCGCTGCAATAGTGGGTCATTCAGATGGTGCATGGCCACGCTCTAGGCATGGGCTAGGGCTTACCCCTGAGATCAACACACTATCAATACTTTGCAGATGAACACACTACAGTAGTTCTGTGATGGGGCCATGCGTGAGCGATATATTACTTCTCCGCATCGGGGTAGTGTGATTCGATGGCATGGAAAACGTATATACTATCAGTCAGTTTACTTGACTTACTTAAACTACCATGTATACTATCATTCTATTTATTTAACCTATCTTAACTACCATTTATACCAGCGTTCAGTTTGTTAACCTAATTCAAACCACTATGTATATTATCGTTCAGTTTATTTAACTTTTCTAAACCACCATGTATACTATCATTCAGTTTATTCACCTTATTTAAACCACCATGTATAGTATCGTTCAGTTTATTTAACTTTTTGAGCCACCATGTATATACTATCTTTCAGTTTAATTACCTTTTTCAAACAACCATGTATACTATCATTTAGTTTATATACCTTATTCAAACTACCATGTATACTATTATTTAGTTTATTTACCTTATTCAAACTACCATGTATACTATCATCCAGTTCATTTAGATCATCTAAACTACTTACATCCTAGAATCCATCCTCTGCTTATTTGCGAATGACCTGTGGCTCAAAATCAATCTTAGAGGCGCGCCCCAGCAACTCCGCATACAGTGGGACTCTCGCTGTCAGCCGGAAGCCTATACAAAAACATGAGGAACACTTATCAAAAGCCTATACAAAAACATGGGGAGCACTTGTCAAAAGCCTATACAAAAATATGGGGAGCACTTGTCAAAAGCCTATACAAAAACATGGGGAGCACTTGTCAAAAGCCTATACAAGAAATATGGGGAGTACTTGTCAAAAGCCTATACGAAAATATGGGGAGCACTTGTCAAAAGCCTATACAAAAACATGGGGAGCACTTGTCAGACAAACCTCACACGACTGCTTACCCTCGCGCGATCACATACACACGCGCTTTGTAGGGGCGGCAGGAAATATATAGAACAGTATTAATATATATATATATATATATATACATATATATATATATATATATATATATATACTATATATTATTATATATATATATACTAATACTATATATATATATATATATATATATATATATATATATATATATATATAGTATATATATATATATATA